TGCTTTCAGAATTTTGTCTCTGTCTAAGGTTTTGGTCATTTTGATCAGAATGTGTCTTGGGGTATTTTTATTCGGATTTCTTCTAGCTGGTACCCTTCGGGCCTCCTGAATGTGGTCACAAGTTTTCTTCAGCTCTGGAAATGTTGTAGCAATGATTTCTTTGACAGTTTCTTCTTCATCGAGGTTTTCTTCCTTTCCCTCTGGGACTCCAATAATTCTTATGTTACCCCTCTTGGCTTCATCACGATCTTCTCTTGCCATCTGTTCCCGAATTTTGAGTCTCTTTTCCATTTTCTGCTCTTTTCTGGATAGTCTCTGAACTTCATCTTCGAGCTCACTGATTCTGTTCTCAGCCGCTCTTACTCTGCTGCTGAGGCCTTCTACTGAGCTTTTCAATTCGCCTACGAGATTTTTCAGGTCTGACATTTCTGATTTCATTTTCCTCATTTCTGCCTTTAGATCCTCTTGTCTTCTATTGGCATTGCTTTCCATTGTTTCTTTTAATTCCCTAATCATCCTAAGTAGCTCCCTCCTGAATTCCTTGTCAGAGAGGTTGTCTAACACTACAGTACTGTTGGTGTCATCTGGGCTCGACTCTTCAATATGAAAGTTTGGTGGGCTTTTGCGTTGCTTTACCATTGTGAGAGGTGTAGTTTAGTCCTTCACGTTCACTGTTACTATTCTGCTTGATATGCAGTGTGAGTTAAGATAGGCTTATGAGTTATTGGGTACTGTGTTTCTAGTGGCTGAGCTAAAATAGAGAAGTTTCCATCTAAGAAGTTAGCTTATGGTTCCTATGACATATGTAGTGGGAAAATATGACGCGGCCGCGGCTCCGGAAAGAGTCCCTGGCACTGGGCGAGGAGTTGGGAAGGTCTCCTGTTTGGAATTGGAGCCGTTCAGCTTTGTTGCCCAGAGCTGGGCCTCTGTGCCCGTCCCACGCAGATCAGGGGTTGAAAACCGGCTGTCTAGGGGCTGTTTCTAGCTGCGCGTGCCCAGAAAGGGACCCAGGCCCTTGGGGGCGGGCTGTACCTGTTGGAATTGGAGCCGTTAAGCTTTGTTGCCCAGAGCTGGGCCTCTGTGCCCATCCCACGCAGATCAGGGGTTGAAAACCGGCTGTCTAGGGGCTGTTTCTAGCTGCGCGTGCCCAGAAAGGGACCCAGGCCCTTGGGGGCGGGCTGTACCTGTTGGAATTGGAACCGTTCAGCTTTGTTGCCCAGAGCTGGGCCTCTGTGCCCGTCCCACGCAGATCAGGGGTTCGACCTGTAATTTTTAATAAGTTTTCTTTTTTCTATAATGTGCATGTGACATAGGATGGTAGGCCCATACTCTGCTGTGCTCAGGGCTTACTCCTGGCTCTGTGCTCAACGGCTCACTTCTGGCAGTGCTGGGGTCTGTACTATAAGGGACCAAAGTTGGGTCAGGGCAGGCAAGGCAGATGCCTGACCAGCTGTACTGTTTCTCCAGCTCCTAAAACTGATTTTCATGACTGGTCTTTATGTTCCCAATCGTACCTTCCCCTAAAGAGGCAATCACACTCCTTCATCTGTAGAATAAAGTGACAACTACTTACCATGGCTTATTGACTTTTCCTTCCCTCCGCCCTCCTGTGATTTGGATCTTTGTTCCACCCTGCTTTATTTCCCAGCTCTCTCTATCTCCTTATTGGAGTGCTACTCACTGAAAGGAATTTCATTTCATCTCTTTATTCTACTACTCAACTATTAGTACTTCCAACAAAAAAAGCATTTCACACACACAGCAGTTTAGATTCCCTTTCTGGGTACTGAGACATGCCTGTGCCTTTATCATGTATCTGTTACAGGGATTATTATAGACTAAATAAATTAGCATGGATGAAGCATATATATCTACATATATACACATATATTATAGCACTGTTTATTATTTTTACCATCACACTGAATACTGACTGTTATCTTTGAAAGAGACAGGTAGATGGAGGGGGTAGAAGGGGATTAGATTTCATTCTAACAAGTTAACATTTTCTTCATGTTAATTTATCCAAACCCTGACCACAGCAACTTTCTATTACCATTACCTTAAAAATGTTTTTGAAGACTCAGTTAGCACAGCGGGTAGGGCATTTGCCTTGCATGCGGCCAACCTAGGTTCGATTCCTCCATCCCTCTCCAACAACCCGGCAAGCTACCAAGAGTATCCCTCCCACAAGGCAGAGCCTGGCAAGCTCCCCTCGGCGTATTCAATATGCCAAAAACAGTAACAAGTCTCACAATGAAGACATTACTGGTGCCCACTCGAGCAAATCAATGAACAATGGGAGGACAGTGCTGCAGTGCTACTAGTTGATTTTTTAAAATCTTGGCTACTTCTTTATATGCAATTATAAAATTTCTGTTTTTGAGACTATAACAAATGGTGTTCAGGGCTTCCTCCTGGCCCTGTGCTCAGGGATCACTCATGAAAGCTCAGAGGATCTATTTGGGGTGCTGGGGATTGAATCCACATTGGCCATGTGCAAGGCAAACACTCTACCTTTCTGCCTCCGCCCTACTGGAATGACGTCTTTTTATCCCTTGCTTTAAAACCTTTGCTTACCAATATTTCACATTGTTTCTGTACAAATTAATTCAAGTTTCAGTACAGATTTTTCTGTGATCATATAAGGATGTAAATACAAATTTTGCCTATTTGGCCATCTTGATATTCTCCCTTTCAGGGGAGAGGGGGATACTGGGGGTATACCTTGGCTGTACTCAGGATTTACTCCTGGCTCTGTACTCAGGGATCACTCCTTGCACGTTCAGGGAACCATATGGAGTGTCAGGCCAACCATTCGCTGGCAACCTGCAAGGCAAGCACCTTACCCACTGTACTAAGCTCCCACTTTTTAAAAAATCAGATTTGGAAGTCTATCCTGTGAAAACTGTTACTGTAAATCTGAAGTAAGGCTCATGATTATTTGCTTAGCAATGAAATGAATAAGAAAGTCAAGTACTTAATTTGGTTTTATTTTGTGGGCGGAGGGCTTTTTGGGTCACATCCAACAATGCACAGGGGTTACTACCGGCTCATGCGCTCAGGAATTACTCCTGGCGGTGCTCGGGGGACCATATGGGAGGCTGGGAATTGAACCTGGATCAGCCCCATGTAAGGTAAATACCCTACCTGCTGTGCCATTTCTCCAGCCCCAAGAAAATCAAATACTTTAACCACTGTTGTTATTTACCTTAAATTCAAAACTTTGCATTTATATTCCCAATGTAGATTGTGTCAAGAATTTAGGAATAAAGCAAAATAGTTACTTGTTTTTATTTGTGAATTGTCAGAACAAAAGCTTATCTTTCATCAATATACAGAACTCTGATCATTTACGGAAAAAACTTAAAAATACTGACAATCTTCAAAATTATCCTAGGAGAAAATACGGTAAATATGAGGGCCAGTGAGATACTACAGTGGGTAAGGTATTTGCCTTGCATGTGGCCAATCTGGGTTTGATCACCCCCCCCCCCCCCGCCCCAAAACCTACCCCTACAGCCCCTTGCACTCTATATGGTTCACTGGGCATTGCCAGGAGTAATCCCTGAGTACTTCTGGAGGTAGCCCATATATACTTACACACATATATTGTAAAGAGGAGCATAGGAATTACAATCTTTCTGCCTATTAGTCTCTGGTGCCTTTTTTGTAAAAAATAAAGCCCACATATAAAAAAGACATCTTCAAGAAAAATCCCCCTCTCTTTCCCTCTCTTTCTGAGAAAGAGAGGGGATTTTTCTTGAAAGCTTATTTCCCTAAGAAGCTTTATATTTTTAACAATTTGGCATAGGACCAACATCTTATACAATTTACATGATTGGACTTTTAGAGTTACAGAAAGGTCAAAAGTTCTGCTCTGTACCGAGACTAGAAAGTTTATTAGAGCATGACATACTATTTCGGGAAAATGTATTTAATATTTTTAATTTACTAAAGATATGTTATTTAAATTAGGATTTTATTTCTATTCTTGAATCTCAGAAAATGTGATTTCATAAAAAAAAAAACAGGTCCAAAGAAGTCAAAAAGTTTATTTCAATATAAAACATAGAAACATATTTATGATTCCTGGACAAGTTTCAATGGTTTAATTCAAAGATTGATTACAGTTTGTGTAAAAGACAATTCCTAATTTTCACTCCTCAAACATTTCCAGTAGAGCACATGAAATTCTAGGCTGGAATTTTCCTGTTTTCAATAAATTCATGGATGCCTTTTTATCAAGTTCACAGTAATACATACATAAGACAAATCTGTTCAATGACTCATTTGCACCAACTCTAGATTATGTCACAAAGGACTTTAAATTTTCTTTGGAAGAATTAAGAGGCTCTTTCACACAATATCAGTAAGAACCTAAAAAATAGAAGACACAGGCGAACAGTTTTTGAAGGTAGAAAACATGTCCCACATTATCTTTCTGGAACAACATTAATCCAGAACCAAAGTTTCATTGAAAATACTTCTTCATTTTCTTAATTGAGTTACATGGTAATTAGTAGAAATATCATGAATCTGACATTTTGTTTCTCATGTATTATATTTTAAATTCAAAACTTTGTATGAAAACCACACTAGGCCTAGTTTCTTTCACACACACAAGAACAACAAGAATTATGGGATAACTGTTTATAATTTGAAATAAATTCTTTGACTATTACTATTATAGTGTAGAGTTGAAAACACTAGTTCTACTTAGAGAGAACCATAAAGGAAATATCCATCAGATATCCCAGAAAGAAATACAAACACGTGGAAAGAAGAGAGAACAAACTTTCGTTTGTACTGTTTCAACTGGTAGGAACCAGAGACGGCTGCCAGCCTGATGTGAGTGATTTTTGAGATATTAGGAAGGGTTGACATTCAAGTGGAGTACTAATCACATGCCACACTAACTAGGAGTAGGTAAATTTTAATACTTAAGAATAACTCTACAAAAAAAAAAAAAAGAACAACACAAAGGTCTGGAGAGAAAACATGACTAAACAGTAACTCTGATTTTTCCTTTGGCTGATAGTCTAAAAAACCTCACTGGCAACTGAGTAGGGACTATGGATATAGAAATAGACTCATAAATTTATTGTCAGATTGTAGGTAAAGTTTCATTACCACCCCAGCGCGTATCCTACAAATTACAACTCTGAAGTCTTACTGAATCCCGAGGAGATGCCATTAAAGAAAAAAAATAAAAGGATATTTAAAGGGATGTAAACATTATCCTGAACACAATGGCAATGATGACAGGTTAAGGCCCATACACTAAGGTATAGCCAGACCACTCCACCCATGGACCACTTTAGTGTGGAATCCCCAGGATGGCATTACTGTCACTTGGAAGTACAGCCCAGGAGATTCACAGAGTGGGGAGTCTGCCACTGTAGGCTATTCTCAGAATAGGGACCTTTTCTGAATGGGGCAAGGCCACATCCCATAGGAGACAGACAAGAGTGAGCAGTCAGCAACACTGGGATTTGCTCTCTGCCGTGATGTTCTCCTGACTCAGTTTGATCTTATCCACATCCTTTTCTTCACTCGAAAAGCTCTGCTGGCTTGTGAGGATGTTCTCCACTAGGAACCGAGCTGCTTCATCTATGTTTATGTTATCCTGCAGAGAAGAGATGAGGTTACCACCAATGCAGGGAACTTGAAAAATTCATCCGAGGGGCTTTTATGATATACTGGGTTCCACTGTCTTGAATATCGAAAGTTGGAATGGGGTTAAGATTACACTCAATTTATGGACTTAATTGTATCATCACAACTTCTCCAACACTGTCATTATATAAGGATATTATTTGACTCTCCAATGTGAAACTTTTAACACAAAAACACAAACACCTCAAGCCTCCATTTTTTTTGCCTGTGATTTTCATCTCTGCTATCTTCATAGCTAGATGTTTAAGCTATTCACCAGCTGACCTATGTGTTTTTTGTTTGTCTTTAAAATAAATTTTATCTCGTTTCTCATCACAGATAAAAGTCTTACTCGAGATAAAGCATATTTCAGACTTGTTCTATTTTTTTTTTTGAACACAGGGGGCCTAAGACCTTCAAGCATCATGTGAAAACATCTGCCTGACCTTTTCAATGCTTTGGGGAGTCTTGCCCATGACTTCTGCCTTTACCATGGCCATGGCTCTGGCTATTTTGTTGAGCCTTCGATAAAATCATGTGTCCTTGTGCTTGATGAGATACTTCATTCAAGCCCCATAAGCTCCAGTCTGGTCTCACTGCAAGACTCAAACTCACAGAAAACCTTTGTTCTAGAGTCTACATAATAGCCCATTTTAATTGGAATGTAAAATCTGCCCTTCCATTCACCTCCCCATTAGCCAACTTTGAAAGCATTCCTGCTGCTCACTGAAAGAAAATACCATATTCCTATTATGCTGCAGTTCTTTTTTTTTTAATTTCTCTAGGCGTCTCCAAACCACTCACATGAATCTATCTAAGTACTTTGTAGTTACAGCCCTAGTTTGCAAATTTACCGCAGAGCAGACACAAACCCACAACAAATCTCACCTTCGCAGAGGTTTCAAACCACCCAGAGAAGCCATGTTCTTTGCAGAACTGGTCCATCTGGGGAAGACTCTGGCCATTGTCCCTCCTCTGGTCACACTTGTTGGCGAGAAGGACAGCAGGAATTGGGCTGCCATTTGGAAGATGGACTTTACTATCCAGATCACTTTTCCATTTTAAAACTGCCTCAAATGTAGAACCTCTTGATATATCGAAGACGACGAAGGCACCGTCAGCCTCTTTGTAGTATACTCGGGTCATGTTGCCAAACCGCTCCTGCCCTAAGAATTAATCATAGGAGATTACAATGCTGAGATCAGAGATGTCCATATATAGACTGTAGACAGAATTTACATTTATTTCTAACCGTTTATAAGGCTATAAAAAAGCATCTCCCATTTTATTGCAAATAGAAGTTGGTGGAATTAAGGACTGGGACACAGAAACAAGACCCATAAAGCAGAAGTGGTGGAGCTCGTGCTCTGGGGAGATGATTAACCGTTTCTATGTCCTGTGGGTCTAGACGCCCCCGTTCTACACAAACATCGCACTTAAAGCTACAGGGTCCATCATTTTCTCCTTGCGTTCTCTTTGCTCTAAGGGATCAGAGACGCTAAAAGGAAAAGGAAAGCTGGGAGAGGAAGGAAGAAAGGACAAGAATAGAACAAAATGAAGCTTGCAGGAAGGAGATATGTATTAATGTGGGTAAAATGCCAGTTGAGCAGATTAGGAGTGGGCATGAGGAAAGGGCTCCTGTACTCAACTCATCTTTCCATCACCTCACGGGCCTATAGCTACTTTGGACTCAGTCTGCAAAATGGAGTTCCTCAAAGGAGACAGACACATGCAAACGAATCTACCAAAAGACAGCAAGAGAGTTATGGTATTAAACACCCAAAAGGAGAGAGAGAACAAAAGGGCATGCCCTGCCACAGAGGCAGGGTGGGATGGGGGGATGGGGGGTGGGAGGGATACTGGGACCCATGGTGGTGGTGGAGGATGGGCACTGGTGGAGGGATGGTACTTGATCATTGAATAACTGAAACCCAAGCACAAAAAATTGTAAGTCGGGGCTGGAGCGATAGCGCAGCGGGTAGGGCGTTTGCCTTGCACACAGCCAACATGGTCGACCCAGGTTCAATTCCCAGCATCCCATATGGCCCCCTGAGCACCGCCAGGAGTAATTCCTGAATGCATGAGCCAGGAGTAACCCCTGTGCATTGCCAGGTGTGACCCAAAAAGCAAAAAAAAAAAAAATTGTAAGTCTATAACTGTACCTCATGGTGTTTCACTAATAAAAATTAAAAAAATAAAGGAAAAAAAAAAGAGAGCGCTGTGGTGTTAAACACTGTTTGAGGGCGTTTGCCTTGCCCGAGGCCGATTAGGGTTGAATTCCAAGAACCCCGTATGGTCCCCCAGGACCGCCAAGGACTAATTCCTGAGTGTAGAGCCAGGAGTCATCCCTGAGCACTGTCGGGTGTGAGTCCCAAAAAAACAAAAAGAAAAACAAACAAAAAAGTTTGAATTGCAGAATGCTTCAGTATCACTTTATTTTGAACATAACCGGGGCCATTGGAAACTCTGGGGGGAATGATTGACTCACTGGCTGAACTATTCTAGAGAGCTCTGCAAAGTTTCCTCTTGCTTATCTGAAATCTCTACCACTGCTTGGCCTAGGAAGGACCTTTATCTTCATCTGGCAGGGGAAACACACACACATACACACACAGTGCCTCTTGGCCGAGATGACAGTGCTAGAAGAAGCAGGGACTAGAACCCATGTCTTCTGACTCACACATACCAAATGGAATATGCCAGAATTTTCTGAACTCTCTTGCAATTGTCTTGACTTCTACTGTCAACCATCAAATTATAAATTATACAACAGTTTCCAAAAAAAAAAAGTGTAAAATGCCCGATCCATGGTAGGCACTGCATAAATGCCAGCTGTTAGCAGTCCAAGTACTGGATAATTTAATGCAATAGTGGGAGTGTGGGGGTGGGGTGGCAGGAGAAGACAGCAGTAAAGGAAGACAAAGCCCTGTGGATTATTAACTAGCTAGGTGGTCCTACTTGTGGAGCTGCAAAAAGCTGGCACAGGAACAAGAGCGAACATGCTAAAAGCACAGCAAGTAGGAGAAAGTCAAAAAATCAAGCGCCAACAGGCAAGCCCACTCCAGGCAAGCCTGCAAAAGTCAATTGTCTGTAGAGATCTTCAGGAATCACCGAAAGCCCTTCCAGTTCTCACATTCTCAAGTTGCAGCTTCTGTGTTACAACCTTTTATGCTTTACTGTTTTCCTAAAGATTCTAAAGTCATGAATCCAGACAGCAACAGCGGTGGGGATCAAAGAGAAATAATCCAGCATCAAAAGGATAAGTCTATGAATTGGGGGGGGGGGGGGGGTTAGCATATCTGTCAAAAAGATTGTGAGACTGTTTTAGTGAGTTATTAACTTCTTCTAAAAAAATTCTTTAAACATTCTTTAAAAAATTCTTTAAACAAGTGCATGTTCTTGCCTTTGCGGGACTGGGCAGTGCTCCTCAGAGTGAATTTGGAGGTTCTACATGGTTGGTGTGTGGAGCAGAGCAGCCTATGATGTGGAAGGGGTCATCAACCCTGACTAAAAATAAGTAAATAATTTCTGTAGTAATTCTTCAGTGCTACACAAATATTCCTGAGTGGTAAAAATTTATTTAAAAGCCACTGATTCGAAAACACATGAACTTTAATTTTACTTATTTATAAATGCCATGCATATCATTATAATATAATTTGTATCTTACATATATATGTATACACACACACACATACACCTCACACTACAATTAGACAGCTAGAAATTTTCAAGGACATCAAGTTGAGTCATGATACTACTACTTTATCAAGTCATTAAATTACTTCCAGAATTATACTTTAACATGCTAAAATTAAAGCAATATTAGAAGTAATTTTTTTTTACATTTAAAAAGTCTAACATAACACTAACATAGACATCAATGTAACTAAAAGTAGAATACTGCTAATTTTCCTACTTTTCATCTGACTTGCACAATTTTCTTTCAAAGAAGTGATTCTATTATTCTCAGATAAAATAAGTTTAACAGAGAAGCCATCAAATTAGCATTGGGTTTGAAATACGCACTATTAAACTAGGAGATTCATAGTTTCATTCTGACCACTAAGAAATTAAAGGATGCACATGACTTCCTATAATCGCAGTGAATTATCTGGTTTCCTTTCATCATAGCTCAGATGAGGAGACAGTATCATGTCACATGAAAGTTAAATGTTTGGGAAGAGAACTAGCTGGATCCATGCCCTGATTTTTCAAGTTATATAGGTCTGTAGGTCTTGGAAAAACCTCTTACCCTTCTTGAGTTGCAGTTTACTCATCTGTAAACTTGGAATCATGCAAAGTTCTCCAAATTTTTAAGTTTAATTGAGAAGGCAAGTAAAACAAAGGACACTGGAATACTTTTAATGTTTATTATTATGAGAGTCAACACCAAAAATGTTTCTAGTTATGGAATTTCATCTACATTTGATATCTATTTTCACCTAAAAACAAAACGAAACAAAAAACACTAAAGGGAGTGAGGGACAGATCTAGTTATATCTATATAAATATATATAGATATTTATATTTTGGAAATAAATACAATTATATATGTATAATGTATGTAAAGCACGAGACTTTATTACATCCAAAGATATAATTTAAGAGTTTAATATGTTGCTGTGTTCTTTCTTAACCAATTAATTTGACAAGAGTGAGAAACAGACTGTCTTTACCCTATAAATTCTCTTGCCCTTGTATTTTATACACCTTCAAAGGAAGCTCTTGTTAGACAGAGAAGGTAAGAGGAAACTGAGAAAGAAACTGAAGACGGGAGATGAATGAGAGGAAGCCCGGGAACCAGCAGACTAGTCTCAGTGGAGAACAAGAGACAGTGACTCTGGGTCAATTGCCAGGTACAGTAAAGCCGATAGCAGAATGGTAATTCTCAACATGGGTATAAGTCAGAATACCCTCTGTGCCTTTTAAGGGACTAACTTCTAGGTGTTACTTCTTAGGAATTCTGATTTGGCAAGTAGAGAGGATTGCCAGTCGCCTGTCCCCCTGCGCCTTAGAAACACAAGTAATGTTCATCTCAAATAATACAAAACCCCTAGATTTCCCAGAAGCCTTTGAAAATAGGATTGTCCACTCGGTTGGACAGCAAAGACAAATGCCTAGGAATAGCCCAGTCGTAGAACAGCAGTTTAAAGCTTTCCTGGGGATGCTTTCAAACATCCATGTCCAAACTTTCTAGGCGGGGATAATGAACTTCTTTCTGGCTGACCCACACTATCTGGGATATTAACGAGCTGAAATGAAATAGACCAATTACCATATGCTAAAAAGTCTGCATCTGGAGAACCCCAGGTAAAATTCTGATGAAGTCTCCATAACAATCACACCGAAAATACTTCAATATATATTTAACTTAACAGCACGTGACAGGGACGAATGGAGCCGTTACTGGTGCCTGCTCGAGCAAATCGATGAGTAACGGGATGTCAAGTGATCACGTGATATATTTAACTTAATTTCAAGAAGTTTCAAAAATTATCACAGCAGAAGACACTTCAGGAAACTATCAGGAAGAAGTGAAAAGAATATAAACAAGAATATAAAACAGAGATCCTTGAAAACAAAACAAAACCCGGTATCCAATTATTGTTCAGATCTGTCTCACAAGAAGAGTGAAGAGCTGACATCTCCATGACTTTTTGGACTGCAGAAAGTACTGAAGTTCTTCTGAAAAGACAACTGATTTCAACAGCACCCTTCTCCAAATCTTTTATCTCACCTTTCAGCAGTATGCACACACGTAAATGTTCGCACATATTTCACTGTCCAAGAGAAGATCTCTGTAACTAGAATCTCACCAGAGCTTGCCAACTAAACCCACTCGCTATTACTTAGGTGTTGATTAAGTGTGAAATTCTAACTATTTTAAGAATCTGCTATTACTGCGCTACAAGTCGACGCCCTCCAAACTTAGGAAGAACATGTTCTCTTCATCTATTTTAATAAGTATCTAGGAATGAAATATGATCATGAAAATTTCCACATGTCTTCAGAGATTCTGACAGCTAGAGGCCTTGCAGACCAGAGCAAGAACTGCCCTCCCAGATTATCTAGCCCCTTGAGATATCAAAGAACTTGCTGGTAGCACAACTCTGATACACAAAAGACACAAATTTCAAGTCCAGATTCTTCTCCACTTCTCAGG